AAAAAATAAATAAAGGTATTGTGTCCACCTACAACTAAAAAATAAATAGTTTTTTAAAAAACAATAAAACTCAATGGGTCCCTTGCATACTTAGAGAATTGTACAACCATCATCACAAACAATTTTAGAATGTTTCTATCACCCCAAAACAAACCCCATACCCTTCAGCTATCATCCCCAACCACATTCCCCTTCCTTCCAGCCCTTAGTGACCACTTATCTACTTACCATCTCTGTAAATTGCCTATTCTGGGTATTTCATATAAATGGATTAATACAATATGCAGTACTTTGTGACCAGCTTCCTTTCATTTAACATAATGTTTTTGAAGTTCATCCATGTTGTATCAGATATTAGTACTTAATTACTTTAATAGCAAAAAAAAAAAAATAATAATTCCCTTGTTATGTATATACCACATTTCGCTTGTTCTTATCAACTGATGAATACCTGAGTTGCTTCTACCTTTGGTGACTGCTAACAATGCTGCTATGAACATTCACATACAAGTTTTTATGGAGACATGTGTGTTCATTTCTCTTGGGTATATATCTTGGAGTAGAATTGTTGATTAAGTCTATGTTTGTACTTTAAAGGAACTGCCAGACTATTTTCCAAGGTAACTACCATTTTCCATTCCCATACTAAATTCCCCTTTTAGCAGATAAAAACTTGAAGACCAGAGGGATTAAATCATTTGCCAAATCCATACAGACAAAAAGCAGGGGAATGAGGATGTGTACTCAGGAAGTCTCCCTGGTCTTGACAGCTATACCACACTGATAGTACAAAGAGAAACTGAGTTAATTCTAACCTGCTCGCCATGTCTTCTGTGTCTCACCTTCAGGGAAGAGCAACTAATTCTCTATACTACCTTCTCTAGATATAGAATCCACAAATTAATGGAGATATAGAGAACAATGAAGAATTCCAAAAGAGATATAAAATGATTGAAAAACTTTGATGAAGAAATTTTAAACATCCTGAGATTGGGGTTGGGACCATACATAGCTCAGTTACAGAGGCATTTAGCATGTGGAAGACCCTGGTTTAACACCCAACACAAAATCAAAACAAAACAACACACATACATAGACACCCTGAGATTCTTTTAGCTTAGAGAACAGAGTATATACTGACAATTGTCATTGTCAATAACATAAAAGGTTAAGTCATGTGAGCCCATCTTTACCTCTTTGAATTAGAAGAAATGGGTCTTATTATAGAGCATTACAAGTAAATAAGAAGTTCCTAATTATGAGACATTGAAACTCTAAAAGGACACTTTAGGAACCCTTCGACAATATTATTGTTAGGATGTCTGAGCTAGGAGGCAGGAAGATGGACAAAATGACGAATAGTATCTTGTAGAGATTTTGTGCAAACATGATATAATCTTTGGTTCACAGACTCAAAGTCCTTTAACCAGGACCAACTTACCCTGAATTGCAGACAGATATACAAAAGAATCTTCATGTTCCAAGTTCTCCAAAAATATCTGGAACCACAAAAAAAGAGTAATATGACTTACAAGAATAAAGACAGACTTGAGACCCTCTTATATATAGCCTCAAAACAGCAAATTATTCTTGTTTGTCTTAGCTACAAATTATTCTGATATAGCATCTTGGAAGGAATATGGTATAGATGCTTGAAGTCCTGTTTTTTTTTTTTTTAACAGCTAACAAGGAGGAAGAATTAGCTGAGATACTTCTTAGAGTAAGTAGTCAAGTGCAGCAATCATGGAAATTAATGTTTGGAAGAACAATCCTCCACATTTTCCTGTCAGCCCATGGTGGACAACATTCTCATATATGACATGATTGACAAAAGCCTGACACATAAGAATCGAAGTGCGGGGGTTTTATGAATTTATGGCATATTTGCTACAATTTAATCCTTTTCTCTTGCACTCACAAAACATATGGCAATGCAAATGAGACAGAGATATTATTATTGCAATAAATTTGAATCTGTTCTATTTTATTTTTAAAAATCTGGCAAATTTTTGTACAAATTGACATTTGTAACAAAGTACTCAATATTCTCCACAATTTAGGAATTCACTAGGTTGTCAACTGCAGTGAGTATGGCTTACCTAGAAGATACTACAGTAACATGTTAGGTTTAGGTCCTAACATGAGAGCTAGGGAAAGACAGTGTCCATGTGACCATGTTCCTCTTGCCTGGTGTCTAGGGCAAGTTGGGGGTGTCTGTTTCATTTATTGTGCCATGTCCTTTGCTGGCACCATGGATTTTTTTTTTGGTTTTGACTGGATGCTGATGCTCTCTATATCTTAGGTATGTTAGGGAGGTCCTATGATTTGTCCAGAAGGGAAGATGGCAAGTTTGGAAGGTGTGGTGATCTTGCATGGAGTAAGGGAACTGGCCATGGGAATAAAGAATAAGAGATACAATTGAAGGACTTCTTAGAAAAAAAAGAATTGACAGGACTCGGTGACCAGTTATGCACAACAGATAAAGGTCATACGAAGTTAAAGAAAATTCCAGGGCTGGGGTTATAGCTCAGTGGTGGAGCAGGTGTACATGTGAGGCACTGGGTTCGATCCTCAGAACCACATAAAAATATATAAATAAAATAAAGGTATTGTGTCCATCTATAACTCAAAAAATAAAAAAAAGAAAATTCCAAAGACATTCATAATCTAAATAGGGATTTTTTAATGATTACTCATAGAAGATATACATTTAAGTTTTCAACAATATTTCAATGACAGCAAATCCTTATACCTTGGTTTTCTCATCTATAAAATTGGGATAATACCAATGTTAGGGTTGTTGTGAGGAATAGAGGCAATGCAAGATATATGGCTCATGATCCCCAGTATGGGGGAAAAAATGATATATAACTTGGTTCTATAAATAGCAGTTATTATTCTTATGCCACTGGTTTCAAAACCTTAGTAACTAAAATTGATGTTTGCAATTAGAATTATAATTCTTAGTCTAATGGTGAAGGCAACAGAAGAGATCATCATCATCACAATTAATGCCCAGAGGCTGAAGTGAATTTTCTAAGAAACTGCTCTGGTATTTGATCCTAGACAGTAGTTTGTAGACCCCTTGCTCTTCATCACTAATACATACTGAGGTCAGGATAATTTCCATAACAGAGAAAAGATCCTCAACTAAGTATATTTATTCTAACACATAAATCAAGAATTTAAAGAAGTTTTTTCACTGTGACTGAGTAAGGGAAATGGAGGAGATCCAGTTCTGCCCAATATTCCCCTAAAAGGGTCCCAGAAAGATCAGTGGCTTACCTAGGCTGGGTCATAGTGTTGAAAGTAGATCTACTTACCAAAAAAGGTGCTTTCCCATCTTTGCAAATTTGCTCATGTTATTTCACATTCCCCCTTTTCTTTTATCTACTCAGACTTTACAATGTATTAAGGTCATACTAAGATCTACTTCCCCAGAAGTTTTCAGTTCTTTTTCCTGACTGTCCACAGCATTTAATGAATATAAAAATTTTGACACTGTTTATGTTCAATTGAGTAGCTTCATGAGGTCATCTAAAAGTCCTTTCTGTGTCTAAGTCTTGCTTCCTCAGAATAATTAAAAGTTCCTGGAGAATAATCCAGGGCAGTACTCAACATAGTCAATGCTCCATAAACACTCAAGCTGAATGCATACTCCTGGACCACTGTCCCACCCTGCACTCATGTGTCTTCACAGTATGTTCCACTCACCTTGAGAAGCTGCTCTTGGCTCTCAAGGACTTTTGCTTCTCTTTGCTCTATCCAGCAAGAAAGAGTGCGCAAGGCAGCAGCTCGTGCTGGAATCTGGGGATCATATGCTGATAAAAGAATTTCTTGGAACTGTTCTGTAGTTATACTTCCAAATTGCTGGTTTGCAGTAGTACTGGGCTCACTGATCCCCATAGGAATAAATGCAGCATTAGACTCCTGGCCTGTTTGGGAGGATTGCTCACAGCTTAGCTGTTGTTCAAGGTGGCTCTGAGCTACCTCTGTGTATCTATTACAACTAATTTGTTGCTCTCCTATTTTCCCTTCTGTATCTTTTTTGTTCAGGGTGCTCTGGGCAGCCACGGTGACAGTCTCAGTGGAAAAGGCTCCATGGGTAGAGATAGTGATACGGAGGTCAGCAGCAAGTTCTTGGATGACAGGGTCAGGGTACGTGTTCGAGACCTTCTCCAACAGAGGCAGCAATTGCTTCAGGACCACAAAATCACTTGACTTCAACTATAAAATGAAATTTTTAAAAATGCCAAAATGAATTTAATATAACCTGAGCCCAGGAAACACTGTAAGTGTAAGTAGCAAGGATTACATCTTATTCCCAGTGTAATCTGCAAATCACCTGGATTGAACACTTAATAACTGTTGAATAATTAGAGCTAAAATTTATTGAACATTTGCTATGTACAGATTTTTTTTAATTGAAACACACACATTAATATCCTTATGATACAGTTACTATTATTTCTACATTTAAAATATAGGGAGTCTGAGGCACATACCTGTTAAGTAACATGGTTAAGGGCACAAACTGGAAGACAGTATGATGCAAACTCATGAAGACAGGCTCCAGAACCCATGCTTTTACTCAATACCCTACATGGTCTCACTGGAATGAATAAAGCTGTTGTTAACTATGTGAACGAAAGTGGCAAGACGGTATATAAGGGCACCATAGGATTGGAAAGGATTTGGGTGATCTAGTTTTCCTAGAAAGGAGGAGTGAAAATTACATAGGATTTTTTCTTCTCTACAGAGTTTTATTCTAATAATGCCACGTGTCTAAGAAAGGTGTGCGTGCAGCCAATGTAAAGTAAGAATCCATGATAATCCTTTTCTGTTTGAAAATACTGGCAGCATGATTATAAAGCTTCATGAGGTCCTGAAAATGTGAAAACCTCAGGGATCCTAAATCCCTTTTGGAACAAGACAGAGAATTCCTGATTTAATCATACAATCATTTTATCATCCAACCAACCAACCAGTCAACCAACTAACTGTTTTTGTAGGATCTGCTTTATGTTTTCATTTCACACTACATGTTCACAGAATAGTTACTGTTCACTTCCCCTACCACCATCCTCCTGGGTAAACAAAAATTTGAGGTATATATCAGATTTGTACCTGTGAAATGCTACCATATATTCCCCTCAGATTTCTTTCTTTACACAATTAAAAATGAATGCAAAATCTACATAAGGTGGAATTTCTAGTTCCACAACATGTTAGTTTATCTTAATGAGTAAAACACATGACCATTTTGATGTTATACAGCTTCAGGGAAAAAGAGAGTATGCATGTCTAGCGTAAAGGCATATATTATCCAAGAAAAGGGTCAATTTTTCCTGGAATCCATGTGTAAATAAATGGACAAGACACTTCAGAATAATTTTGCTAGTGTTATCTTTATGCTAAATCTCATTCAGTGCCTTTGTAGTATCATGAACCTTTGTTTTTGTTTTCTCTAAACATCTGAAATGAGAACATCATCTTATTACCTACAGTCTATATGGCCTCTTTTTCACTTCTACTGTATACAACAATTTTTTCTAAAGCAAAAACAAAAACCCAACACAGGTGGGATAGAGAGCCCAGAAACAGACCCACATAAATATAATCAACTGATCTTTGAGAGAGGAATATAGACAACAATGGAAAAAAGATGGTCTTTTTCAATAGTGTTAGAACATTAAAAGAAAAATGCATCTAAATTCAAATCTTAGCCCTTTCACAAAAAATAAATGAAAGTGAATCACAGATCTAAATGTAAAATGAAAGTCTATAAAACTTCTAAAAGACAACATAGTAGCTGGGCATTATGGCACATGTCTGTAATCCCAGCTACTTA